CATCTCAGTACTTAAAAGGGTCATGGGACTTAGTAATTGGGGTTATAAGTGCGGTAACTTCAGTTATTATTACTTAGAACCCCAATTAGGGTACTTATAACCCTACTTACTAAGTCCCATGATCCTCCAAGTAACCCTGAAATCGGAAGCCCCCAAACCCCGCGGACCTCAGAAAACGTAGACACCTGAGTCCGGATCGCGAAACTGCAGAGCCTCAAGCCAACAACTCCAACTGGGATGACACCCGAACGCCCCAAACAGAAGACAGAGACCCGCTTTCTCAAAGCATCTACTGCTTGAGCCCATAGATACTGCAGAAAAGAAGTCCACTGAGCAAAGGGCTTGTGCTGAGTATGTTTCGGGCTTGGGGGTCTGGGGAGCAGGGTTCCGCCAGGGCCGTCTAGGGTTAAGGGTCATAGGGGTTTAGGATTCAGAGTTTCAGTGTGGTCTAGCTTGGCCTTATCAACCTTGGAATTGCAGCAGGGCCGGACAAGGAAGGGGCATACCCCGAGACTCGCAGTATACAAATAGTATAAAGTCTATAAATGGTACCTACTTCGGGCCTAAACCCTACAACCTCTGCAACCGAGTTGCTCTTCAACGCCTTCTGCTGTCGTTTCGCCTGAAAACCATTCCATTGAGGAGTCCCGTAAAAAGGGGTGGGCTTTATAACAAGGATGCATATGCGCATAAATACAAATGCGCATAAATACAAATAAACACACGTACATGTGCGGGCGTATGTATACATATATATATATATATATATATATATATACATACATACATACATACACATGTGGATACAGAAAAAACTTACATATATATCTATCTATCTGTATATATTATATATATATATATATGCTTATTCATGTTCAGATGTGTGTATGGATATACAGTTACATTTACATATGAAACTGTGTGAGTGTACATATATGTCATGTATGTGTAGGTACATATATACATTTGTTCATATATACATGAACACATGCAGATGTACTTACACATATATACTTATGCACATGTTTACATGTATATAGACAGACAGACAGGCAGACAGCCAGGCCGGCAAGCAGGCAGGCAGATCGACCTGCAAAGGAACAAACACTCTGATGTGATGTTATATGTTATTTTGGTCGTTGCATCTGTACGGGTTGAGGGTTGACTTAAGTTCTCAAGTTGATGTGCCTGATGGTTAATGACCTTTCAAGGCAATCTTTAAATTATTGAGAACATACCATACCCCTAAAACCCCTAAGCCCCAAACCCTATCAATCCGGGAATCAACCTCGCATTGGGCCCAGCAGCAGTGTCTTTCACAGCCCCCAGCTCCGCAGATATGGATCGGAGCTGCGCATCGTCCATCGCCACATCCCCAGAGTTTCCCAGGCCCAAACCCTGGGGTTTTTAGCTTATTTTCGTTTTGTTTACTCGTGTTGGGTTTAGGGTTTAGATGGGCTTAGGGATCAGGGTTCATCAAGGCAAACTTTAGAGAGGACTCCACGAGATGATGTACTGTACGGGCCTTGACAATTAGAATGGGTTTGGGGCTCCATTCTACTATAATCATATAAATAAGGAGCGGCTCCATTCTACTATAATCATATTAATAAGGAACCCCCAGAATAGTATAGGTATTTTTTAAGGCCCCTGTTAGTATTAGGGCACATTCCTTGTTTGATTAGGGCTTCTTGAAGTCTCTGGGGGTAACGTGCTGGAGCATTAGAAAAGGGTCTTCAAGAAGATCATGCAGGCCGTGCTTCGTCAGTCTCATAAAGATCTTTACAGTATATCGCATTACTTACTGAGTTTTCAGGCTCCTATTTGACTCCGTTCCCTTGAAGACAAGAGTCCGGTTCTCAGGGTCTGGTGCTGAAGGGTCGTGGTTAACAGTTATATAGGCAATTGGAGGTATGCTATGTTGCGCTCACTTCGGGAAATGAAGTACCTGTAGTCTCCATTGTAGTTCATTTTGGGGGTTGACCAAAATCTCTATTATAGGATCCTAACCATAAAGCTGGTTAACTAAAAAAAGGAACTACAACGGAGACTCTAGGTAAGTTTACAGGCCATCTAGGCACCAGCTTGAAACAAAGGCCCAGATGAGTCTTTCAGAGCACTGGTGATTAATCCCTATATTATCATTGCATCGGTTGCCCTGGACATGGAGAGAGGGAAACATGAAGTTCCTCCTACAAGCTGCAGGTGGCACCTTAAGTCCATATCACCGCTGCGACTCGCCACATCAATTGCGTAAACAGCTTATCTCGATCTAGGTCTTGTTTAAGCCGAAACTCTTGGGATCTACTTATGCTTGAGATTTGGCCAATAAATACATTAATTACTGGCATCTCTCGCAGCCGTCGCAGCCTGAACAATGCATCACATGCCATAGAACCCTCATGACACCGTAAACCCGCAAACCGTAAACCCTTAACGCTATCTAGACCCCAAAACCGCAGGCCGTTCAAGAACACATGCGTCTGGGCCTATACCAGAAAATAGTAGCCCTAACAACGGCCCAAGGTGTCTTAATCGGTTCCTACATTTAGGTGCCGAGTTCATAAGCCAAAAAAAGTTTAAACTTTCCCAAAAAGTTTAAAGTTCATAAACTCAGCTACTAAGTACATCAGGGCTTTGGGATATCATACTAAAGCCTGAAACCCTCAACCCTAAACCTATACTACAACTGAAAAGCATCACTACTTCTTCAGCCGGTACATTAGGGTCAACGACGACTGCCCCTTGCACAGCTCGTCTATGTCCACAAATCAAACGGTCCCGGAATCCCACACAGACCACAAAATTCTTAAATTCAGGACCATACACAAGAAGCCGATTGCAGAGGTTCCTTACCGCTTGCAAACCCCGACCCCTGGACCCAGAACCATAAGCCCCAAACCCCAAACACCAAAACCTGAAACCGCAAGGCCGCGCGCAAAATCCAATCCTCCACAAACCCTATAAACCCTATAAACCCTATAAGCCCTATAAACCCTATAAACCCTATGAGCCCTATAAACCCTATAAACCCTATAAACCCTATAAGCCCCATAAACCCTATAAGCCCTATAAACCCTAAACCGTAACCCTCCTAAGCAATTTTGTTGCCCGGCACGCTCGTGAAACCGCAGGGTTTGGGCCTCAAACATGGGGATCGCTCCCGGCCGTGCCCCCGTCAAAGCTGCTAGAGTTAGGGTTGAGGGCTTGGGACTCCTAAACCCTAAATAGAAGCCCATTACAGGTGGGTAGTTCCTCTTCCATAGTACTCCCATAAGACCCCTTTTCCTTATAGGAGTGGTGGGAAGGCTTATGGGAGACTACCCACCTTAAAACTACCCACCTGTAAATGGCTTAGACTAAACCCAAGAGTACCCTAGGAATAAAAAGGATGGCCTTTTTGGTTTAAAGGGGCTTATAAGGGAACCTGAACCCTAAAAAAAGAGAATAAGGGCCTACTCTAGGTCCTAGAAACCCAAAACCCTGCTTGCGGCGTAAAGGCTTAGGCCTGGGCCTTCGGGCTTAGGGATGAGGTCATTGCAGCTGCTAGAGTTACCTTAAGCCGGAATAACCTACCTTTTTAGGGTTCCTTATGATGATTTCCTTATATAAGTCCTTAAAAAGGTAGGTTATTCCGGCTTAAGGTCGGGTTTAGTAGGGACCCAAAAAACACATAAGCAAGAATTGGGATAGGGATATCCCATATAAACTCGATTATTATGAAGCCCAATAAGGTAGGGATATCCCTATAAAATGCTTATGCTTATGTGCTTTTTGGGTCCCTGGTTTAGGGCTTGGGGGATTTACAGTAGAAGCCAAAACGTTGGAAACCCCATAGCCTCGATCCGTAAGAGCATTTTATAGGGGGAATCCCAGCACTATTTGGCCTTAGTCCGGTTTCCAAGTTTATAGGGTTTACTGTATAGGGTTTTGGGGCTTGGGGCGTAAAGGCTTAGGCCCAGGCTTTGGGGCTTAGGGATGAGGTCATCACAGCTGGTAGTGTTCAGGGTTTAAGCGGTTGTTGTGGGATTCGGGCTTACCCGCGACTCACCTCGGACTGCTGTGACATTCACATCTTCTTAGGGCTTTAGCATTTGGGCTTAGGACTTAGGATTGCATAGCATGAGCTTTCTCAGGTTGTTTTTTGTGGGTGGCTTTGAAGGTTTGAGTGAGGTTTCGCAGTCTACGGGCACTAAGCTCGCAGTACTGTGACCAGCGAAACAAGGCTTGCAACTTCACGCTCTCGTGGCTTATGCAGGGCCTAGAGTTTAGTACCAGTGGTCCAAATACCTACCTTTTTTCCAGGAATGGCATGAAGAAACCCGAGTAAGGAAGCCTAAAAGCGTAGGTATCTTTGCCTAAACCCTAAATCCTAAAAGAACCCTCAACCCAAAAAGAGCCCTAACAGCGCAAGGGGGTAGGGTTTAGAGTTGAGTCGAGCTCAGGCCCGCTGGGCACTGCGACCTCTCAAGTCCGGCTTCGGAACTACACCGACATCTGAGTTTAGGGTTTAGGGCTTAGTGTTTAGGGTCTAGGGGTTTAGGGTTTAGGGTTTAGAGTTTAGAAATTGGGGTTTAGGGGTTTAGGGTTTAGGGTAGGGATTAGGGCTTAGGGGTTTAGGGATTAGGGTTTAGGGGTTAATCTGGGGTTTAGGGTTTAGGGGTTTAGGGATTAGGGTTTAGGGGGTAATCTGGTGTTAAGGGTTTAGTGTTGAGGGTTTAGGGTTTAATCTAAGAATCCTGAACCCCATGAAAACCCCTTAAACACCTGTATAGAGCCCATGTCTTGTAGTCTTTTGCGGTTTGAAGCTCATCCCCTGATAGGAACCCTATAGAAATACTCCAAAAACCCCAAAACCATAAACTAAACCCTTAAAGCCTCAAAGGAACCCTGACCAAAGCCTTACAGCCTGAAATTTCAAGGAACCCCTACAGGATCCCCTCCGGGGCTCGGCTCTTGAGACACCACCAGGAAGAGGCCACAAGGCGAGAGACTCGGCGTCAAAGGTAGATGTAGACGTCAGTCCCCTGGCAGACAATCCCACAACCCCTAAACCCTAAACTCCCCCTGAACCCCGAAACCCTAAACGCCCCCTGAACCCCTAAACGTCCCCTGAACCCCTAGACTCTTAGACCCTGAACCCCTAAACCCTAAGTTCCTAAACTTCCTGAGGCCGATGTATGCGGCTCGAAATGGCCCGAACGCCCGGTCAGAAGCCTTAAGATACCCTCATGGTGTTGAGGAGTTCAGGGTTTATAGGGACTGCACTTGGGGCAGGTTGACGGTTAGCGTTTTGGGCCTAGGAAACGAAATAACCGATCCCTAAGGGTCCATGTACCCAAACAGTAGATGCTTTGGCCTTAAAGTAGTCCCTATATAGGTACCTTGGGGCCTAAGTATATACTATTTGGGTACATGGACCCTTAGGGGATTTAGCATGTTTCAGACCCCTGGTCCATTACCTCCCCTTCTTCGATGGCCTTGATATTCGGATCCCTAGTAATCCGTATTCATGGAAGGGGGCTGTTCGTGTGACAGGGAATCTACAGAAAGGGTTCCTGTAAGGCTTATAGCGTTTAGGATCAAGGGACTCTTATGAGCATGTTTATGTAGCTAGTTTCAGGGTAAGAGCTAAGGATCGTAACAAATGCCCGGCAAAGACTGGCCTTTGACCGGGTTCAGGGTTTGGTGTTTTGAGCAAGTGACCGGGTTCAGGGTTTGGTGTTTTGAGCAAGTGCTCTCATTTTTGCAAAAACAAACCTAAACAACTACCTGCTCAGGTTAAGATATGATCTCTATGTTTGCAAGGTTTGTCCTTTGGAGGAAAACAGACAAGGCCCTGGACCTCAGGGCTTGGACAGGAGTCCCTCAAAGAAGGTGCCAATACCTAAACCTAAACATGGGGGTACTGCCCCCATACACTAGCAATCTATAATAGGGCTACTATTAAGGGCCTGATACGGTTGATGATATAAATCTGCATTACCCATATTCCTTATCCGATAGTCTAGGGCCCTTAAGGTAATGCAGGATCAGTCGTATAATTATCTAGAATACAGAGATGATTCAACTGCTATTGAGTGGGGGCAGTCCCTAAACCTAAACCCCAACCCTACAAAAAGAGGGTCATACACTACCCCTCTTTTAGGGTGCCTAGTTTTATGGTTAGGATCTGTTATAGTTATAGAGAAAGTTAGGTACCTTAAGAACGGGTGGGGTATGAGCCTCTCGGTAACCCCTCATCCATAGGCTCTTGCCCCTGGAACCCACCCCAATAAGCCACAGAAATAAACGGTTAACCTTTCCGACTCCTACTAAACTGCAAGAACCCAAAAAGTTTAAAGGTTGGGTATTGGGGATCTAAGTATACACCCTAAACCCGAAATCCAGGAGGACACCCGTTGTTCAAACGCCTAGTTGCTGAGTTCGTAATGCCCCCCCAAAAGTGTACACTTTCAATTTTATAGTGGGCAATATTATCCCAAAAAGTGTAAAATGCATCCACTCAGCTACTAAGAATGTTAGAGCTCCCCATTCAGCAACATTACCCCGAGGGAATAAACAATTAGGAAACGGAGACGGAAGAAAATCAATTACGAGCCTTAGCAACTAGAACAAGGCTGGAGGGATATAGCCCATCCCACATTGGTTTTGAATCAGGACCCTGAGAAACGGATGTTGAGGGAGGTGCTGAGAAGGCTGCAAAAGGGTAGCACAACGAGTCTTATGGCAGTGGCTGCGTAAGGGTGCTGTCTACTCAAAGGATCATGGAACTTAGTAATTATGGGTTATAAGTAAGGTAACTACAGTTATATTTACTTAAAACTCCAATTAAGGTACTTATAACCCTGCTTACTAAGTTGAAGTAGGCTTTAGGGGCGAGGTCCTGATTAGAGTTTGCTTTCTGATGGGATTGAGAGTTTCCAAGGGGAAAGGGAGGGACCCTAATAAGGACCCCTAGGTATATACTCTTAATATAGCTATTATATACCCATTATATAGCCCATCATAGGGTAGGGGTCCCTATTAAGGGTCCCTCCTTTTCCCCTTTGAGAGTTAGGTTAGGATGTCCTTAAGGGGGGGTGGTCCAAGGGGGGTAGGTAACCTAGTAATCCCCATTATTCCCCAATACTCCCTAAGCTTCCCTAAGGTTCCCCAAAGCTCCCTAGTACCCTCCCCCCTTGAACCACCCCCCCTTAAGGATCCTATAATTAGGGACTTTGGGGGCGTGAGGCTGGAGCCTGCTTCGAAAACTTCTTCCGGGGCGGCTGGGGCCATGCCCCCCAACTTTTAAAGCCCGACAGTCCCGAAGCCTACCTTAACTCACCAGAACCGACCTTTTTGTTGGGTCTCTATACATTCCATATTAGGGTTTATACTGCGTGCGTACAAAAAAGAGGTTTTGGTAGTTGAAGGTAGACCCTTAAACCAAAAAAAACCGAAAACCATAAACCCTAAACCCTCGTGTAGCCCCTAATCCTACACTGACAATCTGTCTGGTTCTTAGTAGGGAATGGGGGAATGGATTTTGGAGACTATTATTTGGGGATTATATAGGGACTAGTGTAGGGATTCCTCCCCCCATTCCCTACTAAACACCAGACAGTACACCCTCCAAGCCTCGATTCCTAAAACTCTTACGAACCCTACTTAAAGGATCATGGGACTTAGTAACTGGGGTTATAAGTAAGGTAACTACAGTAGTTATTTCTACATATAACCTTAATTAAGGTACTTATAACCCTACTTACTAAGTCCCATGATCCTCCAAGTAAATCATGCTTTGCTTCGTTCAAAATCTCAACCTAGACCTAAGAGTAACCCTTCTTGGCTAAAAGAAGGGAATAGGAACCCTCCCAAACACGATTCCAAGCCAGAGGACTGAAAATCAGTAATGATCCTTAGGCGGGGGTTCAACGGGAGCAGGTACTTGGACCTTAGTGAGTAGAAGGGGGAATCGATGAATATTGAGGGGGCGCTCGATACGAAACCATGCCATGCAGACCATGGATACGGTGTAAATGATTAAATGATTATTGAAAAACTCTCTTCCTCCCCCAAGTTGGAAGCAGGTTCTCTAAATCCTGGATGAGGTTTGGGGTTCAGGGGCCACCGTGAGCCCTGAAGTTTAGCCTCGCCTGGCCAGGTATCGAGTTCACATCCACGTCCCCGGCGAAATATCGGGCCATCACACGACTGATCCTTTGGGGGGGCATAGGTTTTAAAGGTATCCACGCCGATGTTTGGAGTTCCCTTGCGTGTAGCACAGAATACCGCCGTTTTGGGGGCTCTTTGGCGCGATTTTTCTGGTATAGCCACCTAATACATGCAACACGGTTTGGGATGCTATGGGCAATTACTCAGCCCTCTACGCTAGCTGCACTTGAAACTGAAACCTAAACTGTGCCCCTAAACCCTAAACCAAATCCCTAAACGAGGCCCTCAACCCAAAGACCCTAGAAAGCTTGAACCCCAATCCCTAATTTTTGGTTCGCAGATGGATCTGGGTTTAGGGTCTGGGTGCTTGGGGCTTAGGGTTTCAGGTTCAGATATTTTCAGTGTAGAGAGTACGCACAATTTAGAGTTTGGTCAGCTTGGTCTGGTTATATAAGAGCCGTCATTGTGAGAATAGGACTGTGGCTGATGTGCTTCATAAGTTATGCATAAGTTGTTAGTGTTGCGAACACTAAACCCTAAACCCTAAACTACGTCCTAAACCGCATAGTATAGGGAACACGACAGCCGAAACAGTCCTTGAGCCATCAGCCGCCCCTGCCATAAGATAGCCACGTGCCCGGAGAGCACACTACCACCCATTTTTGCAGAGAGATGATCAGGTACAAGTTGTAATTAACTAGGAACTTGAAGAACTATCCACGCCTTAGGGTTTAGGGATTCTGCAATCTGTGGTCACCTTGACTCTCAATCGTGGCTCAGAACCTATCTGTGCCGCCTGAGGCGCCCCACGCCGCGGGCCAACTACCCCACGGCCGGGAACCGACACGGGGAAGCTAGGTTAAGCAGCAAGAAGGGGCCCAAAGCCTAAACTCTAAGACACCTAAAATCAGATCGTAAAGACTGACGCCCTCAGCACCTGAACCCTCAACGCCCTGAAAATCCCGACACCACTGGGCCGCCCTGCGGAAGACCGAAACCGAAGCCGGCTAAGGGCATGCGTCGGTCAAAGTCGCTCACCTCCGACTTGGGCTTCATGGATAGAGGCACAGGGTTTACCCTACTTGAAGGATCACGGGACTTAATAAGCCGGGATATAAATACCTTAATTGGGGTTATAAGTATTTATAACTGTAGTTACCTTACTTATAACCTACTTACTAAGTCCCATGATCTTTGAAGTAAGGATCCTTTCTCCTTTAAAGTGGTCCCTGTATCGGTACTTTAGAGCCGAAGTATAAGTAACAAAACTGTTTGGGCACGTGGATCCTAAGGTTCCGGGTGTCAGGGCTGATGGGGGCAGCTTGCAAAGTTGGTCGGAAAGGACTCCTGAGCGCAAAGAACATATTCTATCCCTAAGGCTCCATGTGCCTATATAATAGATAATGAGGCCTCAACGGGGTACCTATATAAGTATTTGAGGCCCTACGTATATACTATATGGGCACATGGAGCCTTAATACAAAAGCTCCGACGATAAATCCTTCAGCTATGAAGCTCTCCTGGTGGACGCAGAAGGCTTGGGGTTAGGGTTTAGGGTTTAGGGGTTTAAGGATTCAGGGATTAGGATCGAGGGATTCAGGGTTTACGGGTTTGGAGTGTAACAGGGATTTAAGGTTTAGGATAAACTCGCTGTCATGCAGCATTCGGACCTTTACTGAAACAGCTTGAACTCGCAACACTCGCTAATTGAACAACTCCACACCCCGTGCACCCTAAACCCCAAACACAAAGCCCAGGCACTTTCCGAGAAGAGGAACCGGTCCGAAACACCAACATATTTTGAGGGATTATGCATCGAAGCCATGTAGGCTTTCGTCGGCTACAGGTTGGCCAACGGATTCCCTGAGTAGAGTTCAACAACTCCGTCCGACACCCATGCCCAGGAGAGACAAGCCACGTTCTGACTGACCTCTGTTCGATTGCGAATATAACCCTAGGGATCAAAGGACTCACATATTACGGCTTTTGGCCCCAAAGACCATACTAATATAAGGCTTTGGGCTATTTTGATCCCCAGGGTAAAGGTTTTCTTTAGAAGGAGTGGCGGCGCGGGTGGGGGCAGAGGGACGGCGTCTGTTCTATACGAAGGAGGAAGAGCTAGGAGGCCGGAATAATTCGTTTTATGGTTAGGATCTGTTATAGAGAAAGTTAGGTACCTTAAGAACGGGTGGGGTATGAGCCTCTAGGTAACCCCTCATCCATAGGCTCTTGCCCCCGGAACCCTATACTTACTACCGCAATAAGCCAGAGAAATAAAAGCTTAACCTTTCCGATTCCTACTAAACTGCAAGAAACCAAAAAGTTTAAAAGTTGGGTATTGGGGATCTAAGATAATTAGACTAAGCTTGGGGTTTTTCTTCTCACCACTCAGACTCCTGTATTGCCCCTACTAGCACCGGTTGCGGCGGTCGTTGCTGCTATGTGGCCCGAACTTATGTAGCACTAAGTACTATTGTTGCGGCATGTCATTGCTACCCAGGGGCCCCAAAGTAGTTCCTTTTTAGGTAGTATATTGAAGTCCCTAACCCAAAAAGGAACTACTTTGGGGCCCCTGGGTATGACCATGATCGCAAACACCTCCCAGGCATGAAGTTCTACAGCTAACAGAAACACCAGACCAGAGTCTCCTTCTGACTTATCTATACTGAACTTAGATCCCTAGCAAAACTTATAATTTTAGCTAGTTCTTAGGGATTATAATAACCAAAAATTATTAAAACTAATTTCTAAGTACCCCTAAGTTATTATGTGGTCCGATAGTGAGCTCTTTTGGCTTGAGTAACTTAGCAAGTTACTTGCTAATATGAACGATCCCGCTGCATTGTAAATGCAAGGAGCCTATGTATCCCACCCCTGACAGCATCGAATACCAGCTACCTGCTGGTGTGCACGATCCCAATGCAAGGAGCCTATGTAATCCATCCCTGATAACATCGAAAATGAATGAATAAACATCTACATATGTACATGTATATTTACATCAATAAGTATATATGTATATAGAGAGATTAACGAGTTTTTATAAGTATATATGTGCATGCATATGTATATGTATATATATATACACATGTATACATATACATGTACTTATACAGATGTGCATAGATAAGTTTGCGGAAGATCCCTGGTTAAAATGAAGGGCCGTGCGGCTTCCTGGGAGCCACTTCGACCTCGCCTCCGCCGCGACTGTAGGTCGTGCTTTCACGGAGGAGTAGAAGTAGGAAAAAGCCTCCGGTTCAGGGTTGATTCTAAGGATTTCTTTTTAAAGGCTCTATAAGGGTACTGTAAGGATTGGGATTGAGAGTTTAGGGTTTCGGGATAAGGTTTCAGGTTCAAGGTGACATGATGCACAAGCAAGTAGGTCCCAGAAACTGCAGCGAAAGGCTAAGTGCACCACTCAACCCTGAGACGAATCAACAGCTAATCGTCGCAGGTTACTAATCATATACTTACTACCCCAATGAGCCAGAGAAGTAAAAGGATAACCTTTCCGACTCCTACTAAACTCCAAGAACCCAAAAGTTTAAAGGTTGGGTATTGGGGATCTAAGTATAAGATGTAACTCGGTAACCCATGATTTACTGGAGCCCTAGGGCAAGAAAAAAACAGCGACCGTGAACAACAGAAGACTAGATCATGATCCCAAGGTTCGACATAGGCAATGCCGCCTAAATCATGTTTATGAGGTACATTCCCCAAGGGTCCATGTACCCAAATAGGGTTCCCATAAGGGTTCTATAAGGGTTCCTATAAGGGTTTAGGGTTTAGGGTTTAAGGGTCCATGTGCTCAAACAGTATATACGTTGGCCTTAAAGTAGTCCCTATATAGGCACCTTGGGGCCAATGTATATACTATTAGGGTACATGGACCCTTAGGGATTGTTACATATTTCTTCATCGTCGAAACCCATGGGCATTCTTTCGGTTTACTCAGGCTGCTACATTACAGCCTGTAGGCCCGAAAGCCTGAACATCGCATATTACAACCCAGGCACCCGCTGCCCTAAACCCTGAACCCTAAAGGCCTAAACCCTGAAAATATCACACTTCGACCTTAAAATCTCAACCCTGCAGCAAACTTCAAACTTGTTTACTGGTCTGAGCCTTTCCCAGCACGCTGCGGTTCATGCCTCCGGAGGTTCAGGATTTTTGAAGTTTAGGGTTTAGGGTTTCAACGTTTATAGGGTTTAGTTTAGGGGTTTAGGGTTTTAGGGTTTAGGGGAAAGCGTTGGGCTTTAAAGCTCGTGGTCTACAGTTGGCCTTCAGAACTTATTTAACCTGAGCCCTACACCCTGGAGGGCTCGGGGTTTCGGGGCTTACCAAACCCCAACAACTTGTTTAGAGGTTTAGGGTTTAGGGTTTAGGGTTTAGGGTTTAGGGTTTAGGGTTTAGGGTTTAGGGTTTAGGGGTTTCGGCATTTTCTGGATTTGCAACCCTAAACCTTATTGAATACATACGGCAATGGGGCCCTGATGTGGAGACTTCTCTTCACCTGCGACGGGGCCGAGGCCGACGACTCGAAGCGTCTTCAATTGAAGGAGTGATTAAAAATGAACATGTATGCTACCTAGGATACCCAGTAACCTAAGAATTAAAAGGCCTCTCTTTTTGGTATTGGGTAACTTTATAAGGAACCTAGGACTACAACAAGGGAACAAGGGTACTACTGGGCATCCTAGCTACTATTAGCAAGTGCTCAAGCTTCGGTATTAAAAAACGCGATCATTCCATGCAAACCCGCGTATTGCAGTATCCTTAAGGGAGGGGGGTCCAAGGGGGGTAAATAGCCTAGTGATCCCCAATTCTCCCTAGTACTCCCTAAGGTTCCCTTACAGTCCCCTAAGGATTCCTTAGACCCTCCCCCCTTGAACCACCCTCCCTTAAGGATCCTATAAGTGTAAGCCTTGATTCCATGCAAACCCATATGAGCTTTGTTGCAGCATCGTATATAAGCCAATGCCCTGCTGTAAAATGCGCGGCCCCCGCGATTGCCATCTATACTCGGAAACTTGTGACGAAGCACTTTTCAAAACCGAGCCTGGAACCCATGCACAACCCTGCTTTCCATGTGTCTTCGTGATCAGTTCCGAAACCCTCTTAAACGCTCAAGACGTCAAGCTGACACCCGGCGGATGCCTGTACCCCGGTCAGCTAGCTTCACCGACCGCTCGTGATCCCAAATGCCGACCTCCTGCGAGAAGATTAAACTAGAAAGTTTTGCGGAAGCCTTACACTTTGAAACCTGGGCTTCTTCTGTCGGAACCCCCTAAGAGATCATGTTGGCAATCGGGCTTGGAAGAGCTGCGGAGCCGGTGTTCCAGGGGCCGTGGTTGTAGAGTTTGGTGGTCTAGAGGTTTAGGATTTTGCGGCTTCTTAAGGGTTCTGAAGGCTGTGTTCACAGTTTAAGCTTCAGGTGCTTCGAAGCCACCTAGGGGGAAAACTCGGCTTTGCTGAGTCGATAAACATCGGAAAACATGGCGACACGCAGTGCTAACACAGTAGCATAAGCACCGGTCCCAAAAACTTCTAAGTGATTCTGTGCGACTCCAACAATCTGAGGGAGACACCCTGCTCCCTCCTTGCAACCCGTTATAGAACTGAAAGCCAAAGCATAAAGTACGCGCTCAATCCAAAAATGCTCTATCCTCGGCACTAGATACTGAGCTCAGAAGTCTAAGCCAAATGCTCAGAGGCTGATAGAAGCCTAGGATACCCAGTAACCTAAGAAGAAAAAGGCCTCTCTTTTTGGTATTGGGTAACTTTATAAGGAACCTAGGACTACAAAAAGGGAATAAGGGTACTACTGGGCATCCTAGAAGCCATAAACCGTTATTTCTTAAATCCCAGTCCCTGCACCCGGACCACAAACCCTGAACCCAGCGACCCGAAGACTTGATCCCCATGAGCTCCCTGATGCTGCACCCAAAGGGTCCTAAGTACCGTGTACCCAGGTTTAGGGTTTAGGGTTTGTAGGATTTTCCATCGGCCTGAAAGTAGTCCCTATATAGGCAATTGAGGGCAAAGTATATACCATTTAGGCACATGAACCGCTAGGCCTCCCAATGGGGTCTAAAGTAGGAATTACTATTATGGTGTGTGGGTGAGTGTCCCTCCATTAAGGTACTTAGGACAACGCAGATAAGAATCCCGAGTCCTCAGACTAGCAAACTGACTTTACACAGGGAGAATCTCCCCTGTGGGGTTGAGGGGTTAAATTATAACCCTAAGGGTCCATGTACCCAGATAGTATATACTTAGGCCCCAAAGTACCTTTTTAGGGATTACTTTAAGGCCAAAGTATCTACTATTTGGGCACATGGACCCTCAGGGTAAGGGTTAAGATTTAGGTAACTCCTGGTAACTCTATAAACCTTCTTGAAACGACCTTGTCACATTGTCCAGTCTTGCAAAGTCTTTCTCTCACGCACGCGGCACTGTGTATATAAGATACCCGGAATGAGTGCTTCGGTTGATGGTATAAATCCTGCCTGACCTTAAGGACGCGAAACTATAAGAATAATTGTATATTTCTTATTATAGGTAATGCAGGATTTATACCATCCACAGTTCCATCAGTGGCGTTCTCCCTAGATATGTGGCACCCCTGAGCGCTACCACCTCGACCTCAACCCTTAAAACCTAAACTTTGCACGTTCCGTGCTGACAAAAGGACGCTAGCTGTTTCCAAGGTGTCCTCGGGCACTGTGACGTTCATGGACGGGATTTCTGCTCTTCCACCTCGGCCATGCACTGAAAGGGTGCAAAGCTTCAGAACGTTCATTTCGTGATTGTTGATCTAAGGGCTTTCTACGTGTCCCTCAAACTCACAACCAACGTTGGATTCATTTTGCAGCGAAAATGGAACCGAATCCGAAGGAATATACACAATGCATTCATCAATTAGGGCTCTTTTTCAGTTCATGAATCAGGGTCAACAAAAGAAGGAAGGGCACGATTGAGGTCGGGTTGAGGGTTTAGGGATAAGGACGTGACCCACACTGACGGGCTTCGATTTAAGGCATCTTGGGTTCGCTGAGTTAATCAAGCCCTGAGAGATTGAAGGAACTATCCATAAAGAACATCTGATTTGCAGGGGTATGTACGGTGTGTTGCAAAGTAGAGGCTTAGGTTTTGTGTTTCAAGGTGCTCGTGGGTCGCAGCTTTTGGGTTTTACAGATCAAACTGCTCCAGTAGTGCGATGATGATGCATATGATGACGAGGGTGATGATTATGAAGATGATAGCGATGATCATGCATATGACGACGATGATGATGATCGCGATGCTGAGTCGTGATGGTAATGGTGATGATGGTGACAGAACTAATGATGGTCATGGTCATGCTGATGGTGCTGATGAGGATGGCGGTGATGATGGGATGAATATAATGGTGAGGATGGGGATGATGGTGATGGCGAGGTTGGTAATGCGGGTGATGGTGGTGATGATGATGGTGGCGGTGATAGTGATGCTGGTGATGATAATGGTGATGACGAAGGTGATGTGGTGATGATGACGACGGTGTGGCGAGGTTGATGATGATGGTGATGATGATGGTGATGATGATGGTGATGATAACGAAGATGATGACGATGATGATGACGATGACGATGATGATGCCGATGACGACGATGATGACGATGACGATGACGGTGACGATGACGATGGTGATGACGTTGACGATGCTTCTTTTGGTTGGTTGGTGTCGCTGCGGCTGTTGTTGCTGCTGCTGTTTTGGCTGTTGCTGTTGTGGTTGCTGATAAATGCGCCTCTGTTGCTGGCGACACAACGGTAGAGATGATGAGGCTGGGACAGTGGTTTGGTGGCGGTGGCGGCAGTGGTCGCGGATCTGTGGCGGCTGCTGGTGCTGGCGATGATTCTAGTGCTGGTGCTGCAGGTGCTGCTGCTGGGTGCTGGTGCTGGTACGGATTGTGACGTCGTTTGCGGCAAGGATTCTGACGATGATTATGGTGTAGGGATGTCGTTCTACAGTCTTCGTGTTTTGCACGCTTTGGTTGCTGTTGGTCTTCGGTCCATGCACACACACACACACAAACACAGACATGCGCACACTGGTAAATGTGTGTGTGTGTGTGTGCGTGTATATGTGTATATATATATATACGTATATATTATAGACATGTCTGTCTGTCTGTCTGTCTGTCTAGCAGCCAAGCTCAGCACCATTCCTGCCTGCCGATGTCTGCACACGCCTGAGCTGCTCACTTGATGGCCAATCCGTCCTAAAACTCCAAACTCGGAATTCCCATAGTCTGCATATTGTAGTTCCTGTTTCGTTGGAAGCCCCAAACCGTAAGAACCCCCCTGGCAACCCTAACCCCAAGCGCGGGCTATTCAATTCGGGCTTCGGGGATTCGGCCAACAACAAAAACCCCAAGGGTCCAAAGTACCTGTGTAGTAGAATGTAGGGTTTCTATATTAAGAATTACTACGTATCATGATTTGGGGAAGTATCCCCCGTAACAGTACCTAGGACCCTCTGGGAAAGAACTATAATTACAACGGAAACTATATGCAAACGCTAAGCCCCCCTCTCCATACAACGACAAACAATCGCACTAAAGCCTTTCAGTCGCTAAAGCCGGACACCTAAACTGTAACAACCTCAGGTTCGGGTGTAGAGGGCCGTAACACGAATAATTCCGAACACAAGCCTCTTAGCACACAGTAAACCGTGATAAATTCCCAAGCAGCCCCTTAAACTTACACTCCCAGAAAGCTTTATTGTTGTTAGCTCCAAATGCCCCTCAACAACACCGAAACCCTGAAAATTCCTGAACATACATGTGGTGCTGCTCCTTCAAAACCGTACGAAAACTGCTAAATGTCTACCCAAGCAGCTCGATGGAGGCCCGCGCAGCGTTCTTCACGAGCTCCAGGAAGATATAAAAAAGGTGCCTCAAGGAGTCGGGGCCGTACCCTGAGGCTCCCTAGTAGTTCCTTTTTAGGGTTCATATTTAGGGTCCTATAAGGTAATCCCAAAAAGGAACTACTTTGGAGCCTCTGGGTATCCCAAATTTCTGCAGGAGTCTAAGGGCTTCTATAAGGGGATCTTTGAAGGATCCAATAAAGGGGTCTTTCTAAGGCTTCTACAGAGTTTCTACAAGGGTTCCATGTACATCCCAAAACCATAAATCCCAAATCCTACGCACTAAACACTATAAACTTTACTAAACCCAACTATGACGGCTCTTCACAAGGGCTGGCTCTCTGGGGAGTTCTATAGGGGCTCAATCCTTGAAAGGTTGGAGTCCATGAAGATACAAAGACTCTATGGGTTGTTCTCTACCTCGGAGTCCCTCTTAGGGTCCTTCCGTACAAAATTGGGGACCTAACAAGGGATCCTAATTTAGAGAATTACCACTAGAAGTGCTCTAATATGTGTGTGTATATATATATATATATAGGTTCTGTAAGTGTTCTACAAGGGTTTAAGGTTTGCAGAAGGTGGGGAAGCTTCCCGTTTTTATAGGTTTCAAAGTCGTCAGAGGCTGTTGCGTTGTTTTCGGAGGCTGCAATGCGAGGCCAGTAGAGCGGGCATTGGGGGGTTCCAAGAGACTGCAAAACCCCTTAACCCTATCCCTCCAGGGACCTCATAGTTAGGGCCCTAGACCCCTTAAAGACCCCATAATAAGGTCCCTGGAGGCAAAGGGCCTAATTAAGGAAAATACCGTCGATGATATTAGGGCACCTGTCATAATTTGAGGGGTATCCCTTGAAGAAAGTGTTTTGGAGTCTCCAACCCTAAACCCTAAACCCGAAACCGTATAATTATATGGTATATACTACTTGGGTACATGGACCCTTAAACCCTAAACGCTCATGGTACCCTTAAAGGAACCCTTGTTAATGGCACCCTTCAAGGAGCCCTATTTGGGTACCCGGGGCCCTTAGGAGGGTTGAAGTTACTTAGCGGCTGAGTGCATAAGCCCCTAAAAAGTGTACACTTTCAGTTTTATAGTGGTTAATATTATCCCAAAAAGTGTAAAGTGTATCCACTCAGCTACTAAGTTTACCCTAAAACCCTGAACCCTCGACAAGGTCGGGGCTTGCGGGACTCCAGTCGCTGGGGGCTTAGGTGCCTCGTACCAAAACCTACATGTTTTGTGGGTCCCCTATAAATTCCATAGTAGCGCTTATAGTAAGAACCTACAAAAAAGTCTAGGGTTCGTAGGTTCAGGTGGTCTTATCGTCGTAATACTTCAGTGGTATCTAGTTTAGGGTCTAGGGAGTTTACGGTTCAATGCCAGTTTAGAGTTTAAGGGTTCGGCAGTTTAAGGCATCGGCTTTGGGCTCGTAGTCTTTGGAGTTTGGGGCTTGAGGGCACCACGTGCTGGGAATCCGCACGTGTGCACATAGGCAAAGTGCTGCTGCTGAACATCCTGGACCGGGGCGATAGGCTCAGCGCTTTCAACCCTAAAGCCCGGAAGGCTTTCAAAGACATTAAAACATGCCATAATCCACACAAGAACTACCAACCCCAACCTTATTAGGATTTCGGTATGTATTTCCCAAAAGAGGTAGGGTCTTTGGGCCACAGGTATGGCTTGCTACAATCTTGTGTTTCCAGGTGATTCTAGACACTGCTTGCGGCTGCGAGACCTACTTTAGTTTTGTGGGGATCTTATCATCAACCCGAAGATGGGATTTATCGGGACCCTGCGAAAAAGTAGGTTTCGGTAGCTCAAGGTAGGCCCTAAACTCCAGAACCTAACTTCGCCACGCCTGAAACTTTTAAAGCACCGAAGCCTAGTAGGGCTAAATCAAACACAAAAGCAGTACTTGAAGGACCATGGGACTTAGTAATTGGGGTTATAAGTAAGGTAACTACAGCTATAATTTATAATTACTTATAGCCCCAATTAGGGTACTTATAACCGTACTTACTAAGTCCCATGATCCTCCAAGTACGTAGTTGCTTTGTTAGGTTACCTTGTAGGATCTTACGATTAAACTTGGTTCAACCATGAAAAGGACCTACAATGGAGACTGTCTGTATACTCGAAAGCCAGAAGACCCTAAACAAGCCAGTAAAGACACACAACCTGAGAGGTAAACCTATCCATAAGTCTCAAAACCTCACAAGCCAAACTTCAAACCCTCAACCCTGAAACCCTAAGCCTTAAACCTCGGGTAACCTTGGCAGCCCAGCCCCGTTGCTCCGTTTGGCCGTGAAGTGCGCGCGAGGGATTTATCCACGCCCGGAGAGACCCGCGGCACGCGCGGCAGACCACATGAGTCGCAAGTGAAATACTTTCCATAATTGGTTCCTGTAGTTTAAGGTCAAGCTCTAAGAATAAAACGGAGTCTAAATGAGTATAGACTTCTATCCTGGAACCAAGACCAAAAAGCCCGAAAATCCTTGAAGTTGATTGGTCTCTCTGTTTTTAAGCGTCACCTTGGTTCTCCGAAGAAAATCTAGACTACTGTAGGTCAAGGTCGAAATACGTGCATAAAAGCGTCAGACCCTGTACTCAGTCGGATGCTCTTACAAATCTGCAGCCCGTTTTAGGGTTTAGGGCTTTAGGGGTTTAGGGTTTAGGGTTTGGGGTTTAAGCCGTTTTGGGAAGCTTATAGCCTGTTTTGTGGCATCATGGTGGCACAATCGTCGCTACAACACCGTACTGCCACATAGTACCAATGTAGTGTAAGTCAAACCATGGCGAAGAAGGCATTGTGCCTTGTGAAATCAAGCGAGCACGTGGGGAAACACATTGTGAACAACCTTGGCACGACGCAAATCTACACAAATCTAGTGACAAACAACAAAGCGAGTACACTTCGTTGCAATGATGTTGGAAAGCGAGAGCGCAGTAACTTAGTCTGTACCTCACATCTCTGCGTGGTCACCGGACACGCCTTGGCGAATATAGGAGCCTTCAGAGTTAATTAGTATTCAGCTTAGGGCATATTTTCGTATGAACCCGCAGGAAAATGTTGACAACTCGTTTAGGCTTCCATATTGTGGAGATGCTCAAACTCTCCAATTGCCACAGGCGTGTGCTGTAAATGGTAGTGATACACGCCATCCTTGAATGGACCGTGGCTTGCTGGGAGCCGAAGATTTGGGGTTTCGGTCGTGGGTTTAGGGTGATCAGCCAATTTACAACCATTGCTGAATGTACCATTACAAGCTAGGAGAGACTGGACGAAAGGGGATCCGCCACTATGATTTTAAAGCCAGTTTACATGCTATATAGATTAGATACTTGGCTGCTTTGGGTGCAGGCTTCATTCGCTGACCTGTGGTGCTGGTAATGCACTAGTTCACGGCAGCCCTGCCAAATACTAGTTTACACTAATTTGCTGATCTGTTCGCCCAAGCATCACCTGCAAACCTATATGAGTTGAGGAAAATGAACTGTCTGCACGGAAGAAAGTCAGGGTCCAGCCCACGGTCCAGACAAAAGCACTCATGCAATGAATCCATGTCTTGAGTGGCGCTATATGGGAATACTATCAAGACTGGCAGCAGCTTGTTCGCACCAGGGCCGGTGTCGGGCAGGGAGGGGGCGGCCAGGAACAAGCCACCAATACTACTACCACTACCACTATAGCAGTTCCACTCAAGCCGCCGCTACCGCTACCACTACCACTACCACTCCCATTACCACTCCCACTACCACTACGGCTAGTGCTTCTGCTAGTGCTACTTCTACTACAACTACAAACCCCATCAGCCAACTACTCCAACTCTTGCCCCTCCTTCTCCTCGAACTGCAGGAAGTGAAAATCTGGATTTAGGAATGGGATGATTGGGACTTAGGGTTTGGGGTAGGGTCTTAGGCTTCGGTTCAAGTGATATGCCCAAGCACAGAAAGCTGCCACACAGTTGCTGCCGCTTCAGAGGGACTGCAAAGCACGAAACCTCCCATATAACCGAAACAACCAGTACACAGCCCATTGCGATACCCACCTTGATGGTTGGGACTTTGGCGGTGTATGTAGAACACATGTTACAGTGCACCTGTACCCCCGTGGAGGGCCTCGTGATTCAACGCTGCCGGCAACTAGACTGTCCAACAACTTCCACAGAACGTCAGACAGACGATGAAAGCAGCCGTCCACTCCGGACCCTCGAGTTGTATGCTAAGGGTGGGGTTTAAGCTGTTAGGGTGTAGGGTGTGCACTGAGCTGCCAAAAGCTAGATTTTGTAGAGCCCCACTCTGAATTCCATTTTGGAAGGTGCAGTTTTGGTCCAGGGTCAAGGGCTTTCGGCACTTCTAGCAGACAATCACGGGACGAGAAAGGTACCAACACTGGTGCCTAGGCCCTGCATGAAGTAGAGATTCTAATTACCAAAATCAGCATCCCCACGCACGCACTCCTAACTAACCATACTCATAAGAACCCCATGACACAACATGTGAAAACATCGTAAAGAATCCCTAAGAGTCCATGTACTCAGTAGGGTAGAGCCGTGGCCTTGAAGTGGGTAATTGAAACCCCAAACCACAAGCCCTACCTGGACCCTATACAACCTGCCTTGTCACGGCTCCCTCTGATAATTGTCCTATGCAAGTCTAGACCCAAGAGTAACCTAAGAATAAACCCTAAACCCCTAAACCCCTAAACCCTAAAAAGCCTGCCCTGTGTGCTTAGAAGGAGATTATGAGGGAACCTGAACCCTACAAAAAGGGAGAAACGGTGCCTACTCCAGGTCCTAGGAGTCCTTGGGGGCCAGGATCCTGACCCTAAACCCCTAAAACCCCTAAAACCCCTTAAACCCTAAAACCCTAAGCTCCTAAACCCTAAAACCCCTAACACCCTAAACTCCTAAACCCTAAAACGCCTAAATCCTAAAATCCTAAACCCCTATATACTGTAAACCCCTGAACCATTCGAAGCCTTGCAGTCGACGTAAACCCCCAACTTCCTAAAGCCATTTATATATGTATATATACACATACATACATACATACATACATACATACATACATATGTATATATATATATATATATATATATATATATACATACATATGTATATATATATATATACACATGTATGTATATATATATATATATATATATACATATATTTATTTAATTATTTGGGTAGGGGTCAAAATTAGGGTCCATTTTGGGTACATTAAACAAATAGATGCCGTATTATATTAGGGACCCCCTAAAAAAAGGGACCATAGTTTTGAAAACCACCTGTATCTTACTACCCCAACAAGCCACAGAAATAAAAGGTTAAACTTTCCGATTCCTACTAAACTGCAAGAACGCAAAAGTTTAAAGGTTGGGTATTGGGGATCTAAGATATACACCCCTAGCCCCCGAAACCCCTAAACCAAAAAACCCTACAGTAGAAGCCCAAAAGTTGGAAACCCGATAGCCTCAATCCTTAAGAGTCATCCAAAGGGAATCCCAGCACGATTTGGCCTTAATCCGGTTTCCAACTTTATGGGGTTTACTGTACACCCCTCGAAGCTCTGCCGTCGAAGTGAAGTGCAGCTCAGCTGACACAGCAGGCCTTGGGCCGAACTGCGCCGGGATCTTCAGCAGCCGAGAACTTGATAAGTGCCCACTTCTAGGGTTTTTTGTTTGGAGGTTTGAGGGTTTATGAGAAGCTGGTCATCTTGTTCATGCTGAAGATTTTAGGATTTTGAGATTTTACGGCTTTAGGGGTTTAGGGTACCGATTTGAGACGTTTGTTCATGTCCCTTACTTCTAGGTACCGCTTTTGGATATTTGTTGATTCCGCGTATTGTTTAGGTTGAGAACAGAAATCTAAACAATTTGTGGACTGTTGATATTATGCACCTAGATGTTTATTAACTATATGATGTAATCTGGTGTTCCTTTAGCGGCTTAGTAACTGCTTGACATTGGAATTGTCTCCAGGGTCCAAGGTTTAGGGTTTCGGATACACAAACACTGTTAGCTGCCTTTGCCCGCTTTTCTGCTAGGGGTTTAGGGTTTGGGAGAAGTGTTCATCAAACCCTAAACTCCTAACAAAACCTAACATGTTTGCCGGAGATGTGTGTTCTCTCCAGGGTTCTGTACGCTTACTTTACGATGCAAGAAGAGTAGTTCAAACTAACTGAATTGCATAGGCCATTCCCTGCAAGGGTAAAAGGAGGGACCCTTAATAAGGACCCCTAGGTATATACCCTTAATATAGCTAGTATATACCCATTATGCCCACTATAAGGTGAGGGTCCCCACTAAGGGTCCCTCCTTTTCCCCTTTGATTCTCGCAGCTTAATATTCAACTGAAAAATTAAGGATCCTAAAAGGTAACCCCGAAAAGGAACTACAATGGAGACTATAGGAAGGGTGTTGGGGCTTCTGTCTTGTCGGCAAAGGTTGCAAGGGTAGGGCTTGAAGGTAAGCAAATGGCAAGATACTACGTAAGGGTTCTGTCAGGGTC